CAGCTATGCTGGCTGCTATTAAGTGGCAATGAATCTATTTATTTTCTTTGTCCCTTTGTAACCTGTATCTGAAAGCAAGAAGAATTTTTATAGTATGTAGTAAGACATCTATAAAAGGGCCAAGTGTGACTTGTGAGGTTATATTTTTGCAGACATCTCTGTATTCAGCATTTTTACTTAACACATTACTCTTGGAATTAGAGCTGGCCAAATATATCATTGTTCTGATTGTGTTTTGTAGACTAGAGGTCTTATCCTAAACTGCAGAGCATATTCTGATGGGCTACATTTGTATTAATCATCTTTCTCAGTTTTGTATAGTCTGTAGCCCTCCAGCATCTCGCCATGCATTGTCCACACCTCCTCCCACTTTCCAGGGAGACAGTCTGTGACTCAGGATGGACTCCACTGCTCTAACTGAGCACAGAGCAAACTCCTCCCCTTTACAGCCTTGGGACTAAGAAAGGCCAGCCTCTTTCACCAGCCCTGCACTGTGCCCAAGGGCTGCAAGGAAGCACAGGGTACTGAGGCAGCTGTGTCCCCTCCATATGACCAGGCCTCCAAGACACAGACCCAGTCCTACATCCACACTCACACACACATGCCCCCATTACTGTAGCTGACACAAACAGAACTGAACCCAGCTTGGCCCCACCACCACTGGGCATGAACCAGTTCTGGCATTTCAGGTTCAAGGAGTGCAGGGACAGGCTGGCTTGGGTCAGCAGAAAGTTGATCTGGGCCAGCTCATGGCTTGGGTGGGCAGGGTCAGGCTGCTTTGGGTCAGCAGGGAGCAGACACTGGCTTGGGTCATTACAGAGTGGAGGACAAACCTGACCAGATCTAGACCTACTTGGAGAGAAAGAGACCCATGTGCCTAGACCGGGGGTGGGCAAAATGCGGCCTGCGGGCTGGATGCAGCTTGCCAAGCCCTTCTATCCCACCTGTGGGGCCCCTGCCATTCTATCCAGCCTGTGGGGCCCCTAAAAAACTTAGAAAATTAATATTAATCTGCCCTGGGCTGCCTGTCATGCGGCGCTCGATGGCTTTCCAAAACTCGGTAAGTGGCCCTCCACCCAAAATAATTGCCCGTCCCTGGCCTAGACTCACACACATGCAGTAGGGTTGTGTGAAATGGACCTTATTCGATTTGGATTCAGATTCAGTCCGAGTCAGGGACAGTGTTTTGATTCATTGATTCAGATCACTGTCCCTGATTTGATTTGGCTTATTCCGAATCTCAAGATTCGATGCTGGTTCAGAGAATCAGCAATTTGGAGGTAGAGACAGCTTTAAATTTTTTTTTTAATGTACTTTGAGGTACCAGGCATGGCTCATGAATGCTGTGATGCTGGGGTAAATGGACCATCCCACAGGAGCATGGGGGCCCCCCTTGCATGCTCAGCAGTGAACCCGGAAATGGACCTCCAGGTCCACCTGGGAGCACCCCCTCTGCATCCCCTTGGCTCAGCAGTTGGCCATGGGAGGACCCCAGGTGTCCCCCCCCCCCCCAGACATAGGAGGCACCAGTCGCTGAGCCAGGGGGGTAAGGGAGGGCCCCCCATGTGCTCTCCAGTGGACCCAGAAGTGGATTGGATGTGCTTCTGGTTCACTTCCAGGTCTGCTGCTGAGCATGCTGGGGAGCCCCCAGTACTTCTGTGGGACACTCCATGTGCCCCAGACTCACAGCATTCACAAGCCATCTGCTACCTAGAGGTACGTAGAAAAAACATTTAAAGTTTTGTCTGTATTTGAATTGCTGAATCTCTCTGAATTGATTTGGAGGGTTCTGATTTGATTTGGAGAGATTAAAGGGTCCTTTGACTCGATTCAGAGTTGGAGATTCAGCCACTGAGTCGGGCCGAATCTCTGCCAAATCAAATCGAGGACAGAAGCCCTAATATGCAGTGACATCCACACCCACACAGTGACAACCATGCAGTATGGCAGGGCCTGTTCCCCTACCAGTAACTGGAACCAGGCAGAGGTCAGGGACTCCCTTGCCCTCGGGGGTGTTGAGAAAAATCAAGAGGATCTCTGCAAGAGCCACTGGAACAAAGAAATCTGTGGAATGCCATGGAAATGAGAGTGCAGGGCCATGACTAGGGCTGTGCATCAGCATAGTATCAACATTGTATATACTTCTGCCACTGAAATGAAGATGGGAAGCAGGTAACAGAAATTACCCTAAAGCTGGAGATAGAACTGGATTTGACACCTCTCGACCTGTTCTTTTATGAGCATTGAGGGGCAGGTCGTGGTGCAGACCTCTGACAGCTTTGTGGTCAACATGCAGACCCCAATGCCATCCACATTGCTGAGGGCCTCAGAACATGGACCTGTTCCCCCATGGACCTCCACCCCTGAGAATCTGGGGGATGCCATGTGCAGAGAGACACCATTTACCATATCAGGGCAAGGTTGTTCCATGCCCCCTGCTGTGGAAAGAGAGACTACCCACCACTCTTCCTGGTCCTCGTATAGATAGTGATGTTCCCAAACCAGTGGTGGTTCACAATACCTTGCAGCATGGTGAAGAAGAAGACTTTGTGGCTGATGGAGCCTTGAGGCATGCACTGAATGGGGGTGTGGGTGTCACTGATAGCCCAGATGCAGTTGGGGAGCCCATCTAGCAGAAACTGGTCCTACAGGTTACTGAGGCAGATGACATAGTCTGCCAGCACACTCTACATGATCAAGCAGACCTCCAGGACTGCCACTTTGGTCATGGATTTCTGCACACTGAACTGGAGTAGAGGCTATAGTGCGTTGTGAGTTTCCAGATAGTGATTGGCTCTGTGTTTTGCTGGAGTCAGGGGAGGCTTTATGCATGATATCCTGTTGCTCAGTGTATGGGATCAACTCGGCGATGATCTCTATGAAGGTGGCCCAGCACATGCAGAAGTTCTGCAGCCCTTGCTAGGTGTTCCAGGTTCCCCAAGATGATGTGCTTTCTCCAATCATTGTTCATTTCCTGGGCCTTGAAGTGCCAGTTGACAGTCTGGAGGTGCTCCCAGAGCACCCCACTGTGAATAGTATCCAGTAGGGCCTTGTTTTCCTCAGCCACATGGAAGTCATCAACTGGATCCATGAGGCCTGATGGCCATAAGTGCTGGTAAGTGGTCATACTTGGGAGTGCATGTTCCAGAGCCCAGCGCAGGAGGCTGTGTACTACTATGAGCATAAGTTGTATCACTACAAGATGAGTATGCCAGATCTCCTTAAGTATCCAGCAAGATGGGTCAGGAAGTCAAGGGGGTGCGGGTGTAGCTCCAAGGTCCATTGCCTTGTGTGAGAGGGGTTGGGATTTACTGCAGGGTACAGGAACAGAAATTCATATGCCTATAACTAACCAGATATCCTTTCTCAAAGCCTTACCATAGGGAGAGAGGAAGAGGGGACTGTGAGCAGGACTTTCCCAGGGGGGCCTAGCTGTGGGCTGTCAGCAGTGCAGGTTGTCTGCATGGCACCTGCCCAACCCCTCAAATATTTGTACACTGCTCTATCAGTAGGTTATCCTACTGGGAAACAAAACTGCAAGACTTCCTATGGTTCATTTATAGTTTCATAGTTGTAGGGTCGGAAGGGACCTTGACAGATCATCAAGTCCGACCCCCTGCCATGGCAGGAAAGAGGACTGGGGTGAAACGACCCCGGTGAAGTGCTCATCCAGCCTCCACTTAAAGCCCCCCGGGGTAGGAGCCAGCACCACTTCTCTTGGAAGTTGGTTCCAGGTCCTAGCTGCCCTGACTGTGAAGTAGCGCCTCCTGATATCTAGTCTAAATCTACCCTCTGCCAGCTTGTGACCGTTATTTCTTGTCACTCCTGGGAGTGCTCGGGGGAACAGGGACTCCCCCAATGCCTGCTGGTCCCCTCTGACTAGTTTGTAAATGGCCACTAGATCCCCTCTCAGCCTTCTCTTATGGAGGCTGAACAGGTTCAGGTCCCATAGCCTCTCCTTGTAGGGCCTGCACTGCTGCCCCTGATCATGCGAGTGGCCCTCCTCTGGACACTCTCCATATTGAATGGTCTAAATGAAAACCAACATCTTTTTTTTAATTTGAAATTCCCTGGTTATCATTTTTAATATTCTAGAAGCTTTGCAGACCTAGTCTGGCTTCCATGAGTCACATAAATGTATTTCTCTGTGTTCTAAAATTGCTACTTGCTAACATATGCAAATTACAAAGGAGCATAACTACAGCTGTCATGCACAAATTTCTGTTTGAATGTAAATAAATGAGCAGGGGAAAAATTAAAAGCAATAGAGTTCAATTATTTTGTTATGGTTCAGTCCAAAAGATGGATTAGTAGTTTGCCTGAAGTTAGGCAAACATAAATTCCTTAGTCTTGTCTCAAAAGGATGTGTTTTGAGCCACTATCGCCAATAGGTCAAAATCAGTGGGACTTGATCTAGGGAGATCCATGGTGTTATGACCTTCTTTGGGGTTCTGAGAGTCAACACCTACCCTGAGAAACCTCTTTGCAACACTATATCCAAATTTCTGACAGGACAGCTCCATTAGAAGGGCTCCATTTGCTAGGATATGTCCTCATGAAAGAGGATTTCAGTAAATGGAGAGGGCAATGAAAAGGTTTCCCACTGTTTGACTTTTCAGATAGAGTTTCTGTTATGTGGTGGGAAGCAAAACACACTGCTCATCCTCTCTTGATCTTGTTCTACATTGTTCCTGCACAATCCATATGTATGGTACCCTAAACAGAATTTTCAGTGGGTTGAGAAGGTGAGCCATTCCTTGCTTCTGTGTCTCCCCCTCTACAGACATATAATTGGCCTATAAAACTGAAGGGCCTGTAAGGAAGGTAAGGGAATGGAGTATACTGCAATCCTGGGACTATCTCCTTGAAGCATTGATGTTGGCTCTGAGTCAGTAGTTACTCTGGGAAGTGTGTAATTTGTAGACACTTGCACCATCGCAAAAAATTACAATGTTTGGTTTTCTTCTGTTCCATGAATTATTTTTCACAGATCAAGTGTTTGTACAGTTCAATGGCAGACAAGGTTCTTTGGGTGACTTGAAGCAACCTTCCTTATGACAAAGGTGTGAGAAGTGACTGTGGTTCCATTTAAGCATATATCATATACACAGTCCCTTTTTCATTTGCTAAATTTGAAAGCTTCTTTCTACAACAGCTTTTGCAGTTTTCAGGCTACTCATTTGCAACTCCACATATGGCTTTAGAGCCATATTTTGCTTTCAGACATGTTGATATGAATTCCATGTCACACTGCTATATATGCACACTGACTGTGAGCAGAATTCATCTCTTTCTGGCATAAACATCAAACCGGAGGCCAAATATTCCCTTGGCGCACATTCTGCAAGTCTACTGCAATTAATAGGGTGGTACTAAGTGATGTTCAGGACATAAAGCTTCTTTTACAAAAAAAATCTTAATTTCTCTGTTTCTATAGAGAATATATATTGCTAGTCTACAACATCCAGTGATTAATATAACTACTGAAGAAATCAAAAAGGTTGAGGATGTTATGTTGGGTAACGCCTAAGAATTGAACAGATGTTTTCTTCTTTTGCAGAGCTGATCTCTATGCAGGTTAAAAGGTGAATTCATTATGTATTTTGTAGGTCCCTTCTGGTGAATCTGGAAGCAAACCCTTGACCTTCACATTTGTTCCATATATTGGACAACTTCCAACTCACTTTGAAGTTGTAGATGCCTCCAAATTCCTTGTGAAAATTTCAGAAGAGCCAAACGCCGACACCAGACAAGAAATTATAAATAAGGTATGATTTCATATTTACTTATGTTGATACTTAGAAGTCCTGAAAAAATTCCTCCTGGACCCCTCTTGTTGGTCTTCCTCAGTCTCCTTGCTCTTGATAATTGATTGTAAATTCCAGGACCACCATTGAAACCACACTGTATAGATAGAATCAGAGGAGGCAATGGAACAAGCAATTCAGTAGTCTGTTTGTGCTGGAGTTTGTACATGAAACAAACCCTACCCAGTCTGTGTAATCGGCTCTGACAATTATGTAACAATATGACCTTGGCACATGAGGGAAAAACCCGTCCTGACTTACACAGGGGGGATGAGTAGAATTCTCTCGCTGAAATCCATCAGTAGTTGGTCACAGAGTCCTGCCAACGCTCAGTATTTCATACTTCAAATAAAGGGGCCAACACGCATAATAATGTCCAATTGTGGTCAACTTAAGTTTTCTCTGTTTTGAAAGCTTTCATGACTTTGTGAAAGAAACTCCTGACTTAAAATCGGGATGCCACTGGAAGCAGGTATCTTTAGCTAACTGGGGTAATCTTTTAAACACAATTTAAAGAGCAATTACTATTAATCTGAGGACAAATTGATGTGCGTGTAATTGATAGATAGGCATTTCTGATTTTTGCATTGCAATTAAAAATCAATTAAAAAAGGAGGACATTTCTTTTTTACTTCAATTGCTCTGCAAACCAATATCCTATGTAACTTTTGGATTTAGCTACTATAGAACAAATGTGCTTCATGATCATATGGTGACATTTGCCTCAGTAATTCCTGTGAAAGCGAATTCTACAAGCTGATAATACACTACATGGGGAAATATTTTTCTTTTCCTCCCCGCTTCTCCTTTAGTTTTATTCTGTGTTATTTTACAGGCTGACTAATTCATTTTCATAACACTCACTTGATCTTGCACCTGGAGGCCCTTGCATGGCATATAGACAGGAGTGCAGTTTTATTATATTCCCATGTAAATAGGCAGAGCCATACAGGGATGGAAATTATGTCCTGTCCTAGACATAGTCATCTGAACTGAATGGAAGGAAGTCTCAAGTTCCTTGAACATTTTTAATTAAATAGTGTGATACTAAAAATAGGTTGAGCACAGGCACATAAGGAGCATGTCTGAGAAGATATGACTTTTAATACAGTACTCAGAACACAATATAGTTGCTTAACTCCATGTTCCACTCTTTGGCCTTATTAGTACTTATTTACTATTAGTACTATTCTTATTAAGTCAGGAAAGGATTCTCTGATGTTTCTGTCTTGTTCCAGCATGCGGACAACATTCATTAGATGCATGGTGCAAGATTAACATCTTCATGCTATCTTTTGTTCTCTTTTCCAAACTGCATAGAACCTGGAAAAGATTTTTTTTAAATGAGGCATCCAAATCAATATTTAGCTATCAAGATAGATGGTTTTATTATTAAAAGAGCTAAGTGTCAGTAATTTCAGTTGCAGTCAGTGATGATCTGTTTTCATAGCTGGCCCTTACACAGCATTTATTGTACAGTACCTGGTAAATCTGTTCTTTTGTTTTGTCCCTCTCTCTAGGAAAACAAAATATATTAGTAATTTCAGTTATTGGGCAACTGGACAATATATGGGCTCACAGCTGCAGGGCACTTGAGGGGTTAAATATTGGAAACTGAAAAATGCGGAACATAAAGAACAATTAGGCTTTGTTCTAAAATGATTGCACTCAAATGTACAGTAAATCTCTCTAACCTCAGTTCCTTTTGTTTCTTCTTCAGAGAATGCCCTGGATTGAGGTCCTTTGTTACCACATATTGGTTTTGCCCCAGATTTCTCTGTCAGACAGTTGTGATGGGTATTGTTTTCTCTTGTGAATCCCACAGTCAGGATTCCTGCCCTATCATGGCTGGTTTAGCCTGGCCCTACAGCTCATTCTGCTTGACACCACCCTCCCTCTTTCCAGTTCCAGTGTTATTCCAAACATCAAGTCCTATTTATCATATTCAATTGAGTCTTCTGTTTTGCATTACATGGAAAAATGCAACGCGTGCCTCCCTTTGAAACAGACATTGTGTATCAGCCAGTGTATTGGTGGGAGGGAGGATGCTGGGAGTGGGAAGCTGGGCAGTAGAACAGCCAGCTTCTGCTAACCTGCCACTCCCTCACAACATGGGCTGGGAGTTTTTAACTTATTTTTTCAACTGTTGGTAGCACAGTGCTAACCCAGACTGTAAACTAAACATTTCTTATGTTTTTGTGGAGAACAAATAACCTGCAATGGATTTAAATTAATCTTAGCCTCTTTTGCAGTCTCACATACGTTCTGGTGACCTGGCCTTCAAAAGTCAATTCCAGCAAGACAGCAAATCTACCTTTCACCCAGAAAGCACCCAAAAGATTTTCCAGCCCCAAGGGCATAACACAGGCAAAAGAAAAATGCAGGAGAACGACCTTTTTAAGGCTGAATTTATCTTTATTACTGACTCTGGTGAAGAAGATGAAGAAACTATTGCCAGAAACAAAGTTCAACCGCCTTCTATAGGGAGCTACGGGCATACAATATTCCAGTCCTCCAGTACATCTCTTGATCCTACCGCATCGAACAAACCTCTTAGTGACTTGAATGTTCCATGGTCACAAGGTGCAGCGCTTTCTCACGGTGCTACTGGTCAGGTACATTGCTCTTTTAACTCTGGTGCTTGTTTTTGGCTCTGCATGTCAAATTTTACTTAGCAAAGGTTTTGAGATAGGATCTTTCATTCTGTTTGTGGCTGGATATCAGTTCACTGGCTCTTTTAAAGATTATTACTAACTTCTAATCCCTCTAGTTCCTAACCTTCTACCTAAAGTTGGTATACATCTTACACATCTTCTATTATAAAGATGATATGTAAAGAGGTAAGATGAGTAGGTAGTATAGACCTGGTAGGCCTTCTCTTGTCCCCTTTTTGCTTTACTCTGATGTTTCTGGAAACGTTACTGATAGTCACTATATATATATACATGTGTGTATAGTGACTATCCCTGACCTTTCTAGAAACATCAGAGTAAAGCAAAAAGGGGTCAAGAGAAGGACCCAATATATATATTAACCTAATATAGTGAGATCCTCACAGGGACTGATACATCTCTTTGACTTTAGTAAGTCCATGCCAATTTATACGAACATTTTTTTAAGAGAAAGTAAGTCCAGTTACTTTCCCTATTAAATGAATAGATCTCACTGTCCTAGGTTCAATCCCTGATTTTCTTATTTCAGTTTTTTATGTAGAAAAAGTCAAGCTAATTCTGACCACTTAAATTCTAGATAAGACTGGACTTTAGGATTGAGCCTCACAATTATATTAATTATTCATTTGACACTAAAATTTCCAGTGTAATGAGTGGGATTTTGCACAAGTGGGGGTCAAGAAAATGTCTTTATAGAGGCAGAATGTAAGAAATGAAAGCTTAAGGAAAATGCATATTTACTTCTAACACTTTTAGCTCCTGTATTCTGGCAAAATAAGAGCTTTCTCCTATAGCTTCTCTAAAATATTACACAGCACTTTGATTAGGGACAGACAGTAAAATACGTGTGGTGTAGTGTTTTTTTTTTAAAACAATTCTACTTATATTACGAGAGCAGGATTTTGTTGCAGTGTCAGAGAAAATATATGTTCACTGGCCTTCTTCACAGGAGTTGAATTTAAATAAATTCCAATAAAGTCTATAAAACTGTATTAATCATATTAGCTGAGTTTATTTAGAGGTAGCATGTTTTATAGCTGAAGTACATTTCCTCATCATTGTTTCAAAGTCATATGATAACAGATGAACAACTTTATGTACCTTTCCCATATCTATTTTCTGAATAACATTTGTAACTATGTATGCAATAAGTGACTACACATGGACTAAGTTGCTTTTCACTAATGTTCAAAACTTTCTTCAAATCTTCTCTCGCGATATTTTCCCATTTATTCTTTCATTCTCTATAGTCTAGTATTTAGTATAGGATATATTAATCCATTTTGAAATGAAAGGAAATTATAAAAAGTTTAAAATAGCTGTTTCACTTCTTGCTAGTAAATTTCTGGGTACTATATGAAAAAGAGTCTTTTACATAGGGCTAGCTCATAAGTAGATCTCATCTACCAGTAGAAATTCTAGACTTGTGAATGATCTTCATATCTACAAAGTCAGTGATTGTGCACACACAAGAACATTTTAAATAAAATCAATAACATATTCATTGACTTCCTATTGTTGAGGAGAGGAGGAAAAAGATTAATCCTAAAGGTCAGGCAAGATGATCACAGTGATCTCTACTGGCTTTATTAGTCTGTGAAATAGCAAGAAACTCCTATTGTCCTTGGAGGGCTTGATACATATGACCCATATTAGAAAATATCATGTTCTATTCAAAGTATGGAGGATGATTTAATATTTAACATTTACTTCAATAGTTATAAAAAATATCAGGAAAACTTCTGGCTGTTTTCCCTGGAGTAAATTAACAATGATCAATAATCCAATGTTGTTTGTTTGTTTTGTTTGTTTGTTTGTTTGTTTGTTTTTTATTATTATTTATTTTCATTATTTGTTTTTGATTCTGAATTTTGGTGGCAGTTCAGGAAGGATCTTTTTCACGCTGAAGCTGGGCCCCACAGATTTTACTTGCATAATTTCTTCCTAGAGAATTATGTTTTTACTGCCATTAGCTTGTGGGAATAGCAAAGGTTTTGTAGTTGGGAAATATTTACCATAAAGTAGTCAGTAATCTCCATTTTGCTTCAATAATTTTCATGCTATAGCTATAAAATGGAAGACCTGAAACACAAGAAATGGGAAAACTCTGGACCAACTCGTATGTTTTTAATACATGATTTATTAAAATGGAGGAACTGAATAATCATTTTTTTTCTTAAACTATCCTTTTATGATATACAATACACAAGTATAGACTCATTTGAAAAACAGGTACACTTAGGCCACCTGGTGGCTAAATCTTCATAGCTGTGTGATAGGGCACAGAGAACATTCTTTTCTTCCTTTCCTGTGCACTTGCACAAATACAGTGTTATTGTGGCTGAGGAGTATCAGGTGTCTATAGCCACCACCTGTACACACCAAGGGTTTTAATTGTCATTAAATTAAATAGGTTGATAAAATTTAAACTTGTTTATTTTGGAGTGCTGCATCTGTGTTTACATGCACTAGGTTTTCAAATTAATTAAGCTTTGGAGTGGTGCATCTGTGTTTACACACAATAGGTTTTCAAACTAAGTAAACTGGGTCCCTGGCAGGTGCTACAGGACAATGGGACAGTCCAGCACTGCCCCCCTGGCCCAGGGCCTCCCATCCACCCCATGCCCATGCCCTTCCACACAGCCGTGGAAGCAGGAAGCTCTCAAACCACACAAGAAAAAATAAATAAATTATGTCCAAGGCATGTTAGTTTTAAAAAATGGAAGCAATTTGAATGTGAAAGCAATTTGAAGGGGTGAATTACAAAAAAGTTGCAGTGTCATCTGGTGGATAAAGAGGCTCAATACATGTCTTTGAGTGCCTTGCGTTTGCACATAACAAATCCATGGATGTGAAGCTTTAATTTCCGGCAAACCAAATGAAACTGTCTGAGGAGTTTTAGTCTAATGCACAAGAAAGACTTTTAAAGTGTCAGGAAATCCTGCTTGTGCAAACAGACACACAGTTGCAGTGCACGAAAGGGCAAAAATCGTGGCATGTATATGAGCCCTATAACTTCCTTTGTCTGAAAACTTGGTCAGCTGTAGATGGGAGTAGACCGTGCGCAATAACTCAATTTTTAATATTAAAACTACCAAAGGAAAAAACAAAAGTAGAATATTAAGAACCATGCAAACATTTAGCTCCTTAAGTACAATATCAATATATGACAACATATAAATATATTATTTGTATTAATAATTATAAATAATAAATACATATAGTAGTTAGTAATCCTATAACTATTAATTAAAGTAAATGCAAGATTTACAAAGGGGCATGGCTCAGCATATCAGGAAGAGAAATCATAAACTAAAGTTGGGTGCCTGTGTCCTGTATACCTTAAATGGGGAGATTTGATGGGTCTAAACAGGAGATACCTAAATAAAAAGTGCTGGGGAAAGAGGGCTGGCTGAAATTCCATACTTCTTCTGTGTTTAGGAACAGTCCTGAGTGAGGTGCCTTTGTGAAGCTGGGGTTAACTTGAAGCAGCTTCAGCAAGAGAGGCAGAGAGTCCTCTTCCCAACCTGTCTCTGGCTTGGTGGGTTCCCTGAGGAGGGAAATGGAGCCCTTCAGGCTGAGGAGAGCCAGAGCACACTTCCTGACTAAAATTTTCGAATCTCTAGACTATTATGTAAAAGGTGACTAATATTTTCTTCTCCTTAGGCTGTGGCCAGGAAGCATGTCCTGGAGTCCAAGGCATTTTGGGAAGTTTTAGTTCTTTAGCATGGCTGTAAAGTTTGCTGCCAGGGGGAAATATTCACCCCATTCTTTTGCTCCGAAAGCTCCTGGCAAGAGGACAGCAGCAACAACAACAAATATTGATTTCAGCAGACAAAGATGGC